ATTCTAAGCATTAGGTGATGAGGTCCTGGGCTTCGTGGCTTAGAGAGGTGAGAGGTCATATACTTTAAATACTGTAAAACTAGAAATGATGAGACCTGATAAAGGAATAGATATATGTAGGGAGGGGCAGTGTAAGTAAGGAATCTATAATAATATATTTATGCATGTGTATTAATGTTAATACAGAAAAATTGATTTTCCTCATAGCCACTTGTGAATGTATTTATATCCTTAATTTACTTATATGAAATTTATGTATTACTGTGTACATATTTACAAATATGGGCAGCTAGGTGGCACAATGGATAGAGTACCAGGACTGGAGTCAGGAAGACCTAAGATCAAATCTGATCTCAGACAGTTACTAGCTGTGTGATCCTGGGCAAATCATTTAACTGTTTGCCTCAGTTTCCTCATCTATAAAATGAGCTGTAGAAGAAAATGGCAAACCACTCCAGTATCTTTGCCCAGAAAACCCAAATGGGGTCATGAAGAGTCAGACATGACTGAAATGACTGAAAAACAAATACATGTATGTGTGTGTGTATATATATATACATATATATATGTATATATATATATATATATGCATGCATATGTTTATATACACTAATATATTTCAAGCACATTGTCAAACATAATCATTTATTTTTCCAAGTAAGATGGTCAGTCTATATTAAATACTTCAGTGCCCATTAGTAAAAATTTTGACATGTATGAGTATATTTCAATATTTCCCTTTCAAGTTTATTTAGCTGGGATCTAAGGAGATCCACTATACTAAGATCTGTGTTATGGGCTGAATACTTTTTATACTAATGAAGTTGATATTTATGTGACACTTTATAGTTAGAAAATTACTTTATTTTAACAATATGAATAGCAATCTAGGGTAATATATGATGTTAATAAGTATTGTCCTCATCAACAGAAGAAGAAACTGAGGTGAAGTATCTTATGCAAGGTCATGCAATCAGTAGATATATGGCTGCAAAGACACAAACCTACCTCACATCTTCACACTTGAAATCTTGTCTTCTTTCCATTTTGTCTTTCTTCTTTTCATCAAGAAAGCAATTTCCCCTCCCTGAAACACATCCGGCTTTCAGATTCACCACTTTGTTCTTTGTTTTAGACTTAAGCTCTTGTTGGGTGTTTAGTAGTCATAATAAAGATCTTTTAGAGTCCTAGATATGACAAAAGATAAGCATGCTTCTTGCACATTACAGAAAGGGAAAGAAAAAGAAAAAAAAATTGCCTGAGCTGGGCTAACCACTGTTGATAGCATCAACCTTTAGAGAAGGAATGGATGAATGACAATCAATAAGCCTTTCCTTAGGATGTAGGTCTAAATTGGGAGAGGAATTCAATGGGATGACTATTGTTTGTTTTGTTCTTTATCACATGGGCATTTAATCTAGCTTCTGTTCTTTGTCTCAAAGGTATAAAGGGCCTCAGGCTGGTAGTATATTTTTTGCCCTTTTCATGTCCATATATATAATTTTTTTTGAGGCATAGTTACATGACTTAGAAGAAAATACAAACAAGCTATCTAAATAACAGTGTGAAACACATTCATATTGGTTTATAGGAATTGTCAATCCAACAAGCATTTATTGAATACCATGCTTTGTTGAATAGATAAATTGTTCAGAAAAAAAGACTGAAATATAAAAATAAGAAATGCATATACCTTTTTATGGTCTTTAAAGTCTGTCCTGTTACTATTACAAAGGTAGAGTATTAGCAGTGGCTAATAAAAAGGAAATTCTGAACAACCATCTCCAACCATCTACAACAGTATCTCCATATAACATGACTACATGCTTAAGAAAAGAAATGAAAACAGTGATTTTTTTTCCCATTAAAGGGTAATCAATGTTGTGGAAATAGTTGCAGCTCTGATTTCCTACCTGTGTGACTTTAGGCATGTTAGTTACCTCTGAGTTTCCTGTGTGAAATAAAGGTGATCAGCTAGACTATAGGATCATTGATTTAGAAATCGAAGGGACCTCAAGGGTCATGTAAGATGTCTACTGAGATGCCTTCTAAGGTTTGTTTCAATTAAAGATCTTCTAATCTGAGTCAATTCGAATAGAATAGGCAAAAGAACCACTTATGATTTCATTAGCATAAGGAATTTCTAGATGAAGAAAATCCTTCTACCAATACAGATTAGCACCTTTTCATTTTAGAGATTTGCTTAAAGGACTGAGAGTTTAACTGACTTAGTGAGGGCCACACAACCAGCATGTTTCTGGCATGAGACTGGTAACTAGGTCTTCCTGGCACTGAGGTCAGCTCTCTGTGCCATATTGCCTCATAGGGGAAAAAAATCAATTAAATCCAATTCAACAAACATTTATTAAGCTCCTTCTTTGGGCTAGGCAGTAATTAGGACCAATACAATTAAGTAAAAATAGATCAGGAAAGTTAAAATAATCTGAAGAGAATCAATTTACATCTATTTATGTATTTCTACACTCCATACAATAGGTCTTAAGAAATCCATATTCACTGGAACATCTAAGCAAGGTAGCAAAAGTTACAGGAGATTTTATAGTTTCTTTGAGCCTCAAAATAATCTTGTGACATCAGTATACGACAAGTCTTTCTTTTTCTTCTCCATTTTATATCAGAGAGAACTGAGACACCAAGAAGGTAAATGATTTGCTCAGGCACACAGCGAGGAAGTGACAAAAGGTAGTACTTCATATAAGATTCTGAGGTGGTTTCTGATAAAATTGTATAGAGACTGGTTTAAGCATTAAGTGTATCATACTCTAATTCTTTGAGAAATTGGCAGCATGATACAAATGTCTCTTAAGCTATTTGTTTGATTAAATTGAAATGCTATTACTTCTTCATACAAGTAACAGAGTTTGTTACATGTGCTGTCCTGTATCTTTTTACAAAATAGAGAGGATGGAGATGGTTTGGAAATACACCATAGGCAAGTTAGGCATGTGTCTAGGGGATTCTGAATTTAGCACATGCCTAAGGCCCCGTCAAGTTAGCATAGACAGACAGGTGAGCAAACTTGTAAAAAACCTGATATATGAAGCAGGGTTGAAACAGAGAAAAGAAAAATAGTAATTAAGGGAAAAAAAACTGATTTCAATGAAATAAACTGACAACTTTTAGAAACATAATCATGCCAGGATGGAACTCTGTATTATATTAGTCACACATTTAAGTATACATATATTAACAAATACTGTAGAACCAATATTCCCATTTGACACAGAATTTTCACCAACACCATAGGATTTCAATGTTAATTATAATTCACAGGGATATACACAAGAGTGGAAGTATTCTACAAGCATTTTCCCACTAATTCTACACAGTAATAGATTCTACACATTAATAAATGTTGGTATGATCAACAAAAATTCTCAGACAAGCTTATAAATTAATAGTATGCACCAATCATTTGCATCAATTCTCAATTGATATAATGGGGTAATGATAGTAGAACAGATTAAAAATTACTGACATTGACTTAATGATAATATAATTATTTGATATTTATAATTATTTGATTATTATTTGATTGATGATGATTCAAAGAAAAGGTTATAAATTATTTTCCATAATAGGTCCCAGCTTATCTAGAAATATGCTGGTTTCCAAGAACAGTGGTTTAAGAATGCTGGTTTCCAAGCCAACAAATCTAATGTACTGGAATGAGTAAAAATGGAAAATATTAAGGTTCCAATTCTGTTAACAATTGGTTAGGATATATGTTGTGAATATTACTTATTTTTTGCTTTATGATTCTTTGGCCTCAATATTCTGCTTCATCAAAAAATGTATAAGAAGAGATTCTTAGAAGTTAGAAATTGTGTAGCTTTTCTGGTGAGCTTTTATTATAACGAAAACAGAAATTGTGTTTTTGTTTAGTGTAAGTAAATTACATTGTCAACTGTGTGAATGTTTGCATTCATATAATAATTTATATATAAATATATACATGCATTTGTATATAATAGATATTATGTTAATCATATTTAGTTCATTTACAATAAAAGACATGTATGAATTATTTATGATGTCTTTGTAGACATATTTAAGATTTAGAACCTTTATCATATCTTTACTAAATAAAATAGGTAACTGTGATTCAAAAGAAAATAATTCCATAGTATTGTAATTTATACTTTATACAAATGACTTAATATCATATCTGGATGATTTTATTTAATTATTTTATTATCACATTATATAAACAAATCACATAAAATAATTTTAATAAGTTGATATACTTATTTTTATATATCACAATTTCAATTTAGTAAAACTTAATCTCTTCAGCTCCAGCATTATGAATCAGTAGTATTAGGGAAAAGTTATTTAAAAAATCAGTTGTAAATATTTACAAAATATTTGTTATTTCTTCCATCAATTTCCATAATAAACATCTTTTGGAGATGATATTGGTTGTCTATTATAAAGAGAACTCATTTCCAATGTTCATTTGTTCCCACTCTAGAATATTTAGAAATAATTTGCAATTTATATTTTTGCTGTCTCTCAAGTCTTTTGAGAATTTGACTAATTATTCCTGTTTGTGAATACTATTACATTAAAATTACTTTTTTTAACTTTTAGTGATTCTAATATACTATCTGACAGATGGCCTTGGTTAAAACAATTTGATTCTTGTATCCTATGAAAATTTACGTAGTGCCAAAATAAGACCCCTGCACAAATTCTGCCCAAGAATTCTAATGGATCCATTTTAAAAGTCCCATGAATTATTTATTTCAGCCTTTGGCACAATCATATGAAATTTGTGCTACAAATATTGCATACTTTCTCTAGATGTTGGAAAGATAGTGGATATCCATGCTATTTATCAGGAAGAAGTTCCAGCAGGGTACACACACATATACATATATATGTGTATATGTATATGTATATGTATAAAATATAATTCCTTGTTTGTATGCTGTGGGGAAGTTTTGCTAATTTTTCTTCTCTCTTCTTTATTGTAGCTGATGGATGCACTGATTGGTCTGTGGATATCAAGAAATATCAAGTTTTAGTGGGAGAGCCTGTTCGAATCAAGTGTGCGTTATTTTATGGCTATATCAGAGCAAATTACTCCCTTGCCCAAAGTGCTGGACTTAGTTTGATGTGGTATAAAAGCTCTGGACCAGGAGACTTTGAAGAGCCAATAGCATTTGATGGAACTAGAATGAGCAAAGAAGAAGATTCTATTTGGTTCCGGCCAACGTTAGTACAGGACAGTGGTCTTTATGCATGTGTCATCAGGTATCCATTAAATTCTATTATTGCTTCATCAATGAATTAACATTCAAATAGTAATTAATAGTAAAACATGATTGATAGTGCTTTCTTCTAAAGCTATTTTGGTAATATTTGTATGGTTTGCTTCTTTCTACATTCAGAAAATGGCAGGTCTTGAATTTATATTGAGGTGTTATTTCTAGCTTATTGAGAAAATAGGGACCATCTGGGTACCTAATTATGTTGCCAAAAATTACTGAAGAAGATGAAATAAAATTTATAGGGGTGGTAGAATGTTGGTAACGAAATGTAAGCAAAGCTTTGTAGAGAAGATGCACACTTTATTTCTAAATGGGATGTAAAATCTTGTTATTGCCCTACACAGATAGATAGAGCATAGGTAGTTCTTTATTCAGATACATATGCAAAGATGTTTAAAGGGGTATGCATGTGCACATGCTTGTGTGTGTGTGTGTGTGTGTGTGTGTGTGTGTGTGTGTGTGTGTTTTTATAGGTGGCAGGAAGAATCACTGGTGGCATGAAACTGAAAGATATGACCTCAGTAAGGATTCTTTTTGAGTACGAATTGAACTAAATGGCCACCAATTTCCCTTCCAAATCTCAAGTTTGGTGATTCTGCAAATATTCCAGACAATATGTGACGCTAGGTGTAGAGAGAGTGCTCACCAAAATTCTGTGTATTCTTAGAACTCAAAATAGCGGCATTAGCTCCATATCTCATGGTGCATCATGTGCACCCCCTCACTTGCTTTTAAGAAAATATATACAGACATGCATTTTTCTTTAGTGACTGCAATAATAACTTCATGTTCCATTTGAAGCTCATCACAATTTAATTCAACCTTTGGTTTATAGAATGTATCTTGTGTAAGATGTATATGCATCAGACCACCAATTTATGAGTAAGACAGTGAAAACAAAAAAGCAAGGATGTGGAGAGTTTGTTTAAAAAATCTATCTCATGATTTGTAGGCATTGTTAGGAACAGAAATAAAAATCCACATAAATAAAAAGAATTACCCTTTGAGAGGGAAGAGAGTAACATATGTAATATCAAGGGAAAGTAAATATATGTGTATATATGTATATGTATATGTATATATATGTGTGTGTATATATATAATGTGTATATATGTATATATACATACACACACACATACACACACACACACACACATATATATATATATATATATATATATATATATATATATATATATATGTGCTCATGGATATTTTGAGTACATTTAATCTTCTCCTAAAAGTAGCTCATCCTTCTCATAAATTTCTCTATTTTGTCAGGACTGTCAGTTAACATTTATTAAGCACCTACCATGTGTCAGGCACTGTGCTAAGCATTGGGGATATATAAAAAGAAATACAGTATTAGAAGTTCTAGAGCTGCATTAATAATCATTTGCCATTGTAATACAGCTAAAAAGCTATGATTCTGCTTGGCTTACTTAACTAATACAAATCTGATTTTATTATCAAATCTGCTGCATACCTTGAAAAATTCTTATCTCTGATTGTCCAATATGTGTAGATGTTCTTTTCCAAAATAGATTACCCAATCCCAGTTATCTCAGATGAGAATTGAACAGAATTTCTATGTTGTTCAGAAAATGATGCATAGTAGTTGCCTAAATTTCAAAATCATGACATTGAGATTTATTACTTTGTAAAAATCAGTTCTTTATAAATTAATGCTCTGGGAAAGTAGAGAATGAGTTCTCTCTAATGCAGAAGTTGAAAAACTTATGAAGACTGAGCATCTACAATATAGTCAAACACAGGCTGAACATTGCATATAAACAAATTCCTTTTAATTTTTATGTGTATGCTATGCTGCTGGGGAATTTAATACTTTTCAGAAAGTGATGCTTTTGACAAAGGAATTAATATGTCTATTTCAGGGAAATATTGACACAGTTAGCTGTTTTTTTTTTCACCTGGGAGAGGACTACACTATCAATAAAAGCAGTGTTTTAAATAACCTGACTTGGTTTGAATCTATATGTTGTTTCCCTCCCCTTCAACCTCCCAGTGAGATCACCGATAGTCTCGTTTGACACATTGTTAGCTATTAAGCAACATCACCTTTGGTTTTACTTAAATGAATTTGCAAAGAATTTCAGAACTTTGGAGATGCTGCCTTTCACATAATAGCTCTAGTCTAATATTTTTATTAAGTGTTGGAAATGGTAACTCAGCAATAAAAAGGGATAGCAAATGCTTTGATGGGGAGACAATGACTCTATGCATAAGATTAAATGGCATAACTTCAGGAGGAAAAAAGTTATTTTCAAAGACTAGTATCTGTATAGTTTTAAAATCTTCTTACCACTAATCTCTATTTGCATTTAATCCAATATTCTTAGCCTCTTATTCTTTCCTTTCATTTTTAAAAAGTTCATTCATTCAATAAAAATCTCCTAAGAATTACTGCTTGCAGAACATTATTAGGCATTATAGATGAAACTAAGACTGGAGAGGGAATTCAATTATAGCTTATCATACAATGCTCATATAACACACATAATTCAATTATACTACAATTATTACATACAGTTTTATGTAAATTTAGAGGAGGGAGTTTTTTTTTTAATTGTTGGGGAGCAGGGGTCTGCACAGTTATGGGAACTTTCCTTGGTTGGTAATTGAGTTGCTCAAACAATTGACATTCATCAGTAGAAGAAGAAAATTCCATTTCTAGGAATACTCTGAGAAAAAATAACAGAGAAGAAGATGGTGAAAGAGGTATTTGAGTAACAAGGATTTAACTGAAGTATGAAGTATTCACAGTGTTGTCATATAAGAGAAACTTGGAGAGGCACAATGACGTCAGATTGAAAATTATCATGGATAATAGGCAAAGAAAAGACTTTGAACTTTAGTCAGTGGGAATTACACACTGTTGATTTTTAAGCAGAAGAGCAACATAAACAAATCTCAATAAAGGAAATATTTTTCTAGACTCAGTATGAAGGATGATTTGAATTATGGAGCGATTATAATTTAGTACATATGTTAGGAAGCTACTGTATATCCCAAGTAAGTAATAAGAGGGCCAGTGTCAGGCAGTGATTGTAAAAATAGAGTATATGGGATCTAATACAAGGGATAAGATATAACAAAGGTGGAATCAATAGGATTTGGTGACATGGTGGGCAAAATATTTGACTTGGTATAGGGGAGACCTGAGTTTCAATCTTACCTCATATATTTACTAGGTGTGTGATTCCCAATAAGTCACTTAACCTCTGAGTTTCAGTTTCCTCATCCACCCAGAGGATGATGACCTCATAAAGTTTGTCAAGTTCTTGTTGTTGTTATTTTGTCATTTTAATCCTGTCTGAATGTTCATGACCCTATTTTGGGGTTTTCTTGTCAAAGATACTCGAGTGGTTCGCCATTTCCTTCACCAGCTCTTTTTTACAGATGGGGAATTGAGGCAAATAGGGTTAAGTGACTTCCCCCAAGTTGCACAGCTAGTGTCTGAGGCCAGATTTGAACTCACATCTTCCAGATTCTATGCCCAGTTCTTTATCCACTGCACCACCTAGCTGCCCCCACTGTACCATCCAGCTATTGTAAGGATCAAATACAGAAATGGATATAAAGTGTTTTGCAAAATTTAAAGTTCTATAAAATGTTAGATTTAATTATTAACTGATTTAATATCATAACAATAATAACCATAACAATACCAATAGCCAAAACTTTCATGGTACATTATGGTTTACAAATCACATTGCATGTGTTATTGCAGATGGTGCTTATAGTGACCCTGTGACATGGATACATTAGGTGTTACTGCCATCACTTTTCTATAAAGGAAATTGAGGTCCAGAGCTTTTAGTAATCTGCTTTGGGTCACAGAATTAGTAAGTGTTGGATGGGGCAATTTAAACCTGGACATACTTTATTCAAAATACTTTACATAACACTATACTGAAGTTATACCCATGAGAGAGAGAGAGAAGGTGAATGATGATGCCACAGACAGAAAAAAATAATGTTGAAACAAGGAGCAGTGTGTTAGTTTATTGATACTAACAGCATCTGTTGCATTGGCCTTGTGTATTTTGCTCTGTTCCACAAGCCTGATACCCATCGCCTTTACTGGTATCTTAAAAACACAATGAGATGAAGTTGTATGGTTCTTTCTGCCCTCACTGGAATTCAACATAACAATGTGTAAGTCTTTCTCTGCCTTGACTTTCATTTTCATTCTATTTGGGAAAATGAAGAGAAAAATGTTTAAATGTTCTCCTAAGAGAACATCTGACATATTTCGATCCTGTTTAGATCCTTCTAGTCTTTAAGACTTTTTCAGTTGTTACTTATCAAAAACCTCTTAGGTGCCACAATGCACAGAACACCAGGCCTAGAGCCTGGAAGACCTAAATTCAAATCTAGCCTCAAACACTTACTAGCTGTATAGCCCTGGGCAAGTTACTTAATCCTGTTTGCCTCCATTCCTCATGCACAAAATAAGGTGGAGAAGGAAATGGCAAACCACTCCACTATCTTTGTCAAGAAAAACCTCAAGTGGGGTCATGAATTGTTGAACGTGACTGAAAAATGACTCAACAACAACAACGCTTTGCAAAATGAGGTAGAAAGTAAAATGATCAAGAAACTGTACTTAAAGAAACTTGTAGTCTAAAAAACAGAAATAATTATATACTCTGTGTGTCTCTGAGTATTTCCCCATTTTTTAGTCTCAGACTGCTTGCCTCTGTCCAGCTTTGTCTTTGTGTCTCTCTTCTTTCTCTGGCCCTGACTTTCTTTGCCTCTTCTATCTCTGCATGTTTCTCTTTCTCTATTTAGCCAGAGATAGATTGATTGATGTTAGATAAATAGAAAGATAGATAAATATATACCCAGAGCAATCTAGATAACCCAGTGGAGAGAAGGTTTGGCCTACAGCCAGGAAGACTGACTTCATATCTGGCTCATACTTACTATCTAAGGGAACCTAGGTAAATCTCATAATC